CCCGCCTCTGAAGTATCACTGTCCTCCCCTCATGAAGAGCCAGGGCCCTGGCTGTCCATTTAAACCCACACACATGTACATTGGATGTTTAGAAATTAGAAAGACAGAAATAGCAATGCACATTTTTAAGATCAGAAGTAGACTTGATTCTCTTATTACCATGGAAGTTGGCCTTTCTGACACACAAAAAAGCCCGTTGATTTGGGCAAGGTTATCTTGTTAAGTTTTCTATTTTTCCAGCCCATTTCCCATTGCCATGACACGTGTGGGTTTGAATGGACAGCCAGGCCCTGAGTCCATCCCCCCTGCCCGTGGCTTCCCACGATGCTCTAGGTCACAGCACCACCCGGTACAACTTTCTATGACAGTTGAACTGTTCTTATCTCATCGTGGCAGCCACCAGCGGCACGTGGCTATGGAGGGATGAAATGTTTTAGTTTGCTGTTCACTGGTTTAAGCTTAAATAGCCACCTGTGGGCAGTGGGCAGTGTGGTCCGAGGACATCCGCCCCCAGAATGTAAACAGTGCCCTTCAAATAGTGTGGGGGGTCAACACCCCTGCTTTCAAGGTTACCTGGCTACGAAGCAGATAAAACGGCTCCAGTGCCACTGTTGCTGTGGCTATGCAGCTACAGGTGCCTCTCACAGAAGACACCAGAATGCCGAATGGGAGACTTGTGGGAGGCAGGAGATTGGACATGGTCTGTGTGGACTTTCAGGCATCCTTGTTGTAGATGCCTTTGGGCAATTGTAGGTCTGCCTTCTGAATTTTTCTACTTTTCCTGATCAGACTTTTCTAGATTCTAGCCACCAACTTCCCCATTTCTCATGTGGTACATTTCAGTCTGAAACTCCCCAAGTGCCAGGCCTCATTTTATCAGTTTCATGAGGTGTGTTGGACATGGGACCAGGCTGTGGTCGGCAGGCTTGGGACTTCTCTCTCGGCTATTTTCAGACTTCCACTCTCGTCTACATCCGTTTCCTTTCTCCCGATTGCCACTTGCCCTAGGGTCTTGCTCCTTGGCATGTTTCCTGTCCAGGGCTGACCTGTGGGTCTTCCTGCTAGAGTCTGGGCAGCGGTTTTCTTCATGACAATGTGTTTAAATAAAGGTCAGGGGTATAGTGGTCCTGAAAGGCCAGATGGAATCATCTTCTTGTGTTTCAGAATCAAATACAAAAGCACCCTTTATTTTTTAATTTACCACCTCACCCATTCCAGGCCTACTGAGTAGAGAGATCCTTCGTATGACAGCGAGTGCCTCCTGCTGCCAACCCCTGGCGCTCCTGTAGCAGACGTGCCAGGCTGAGTGTCTTTCCCATAGTGGTGCACACAGGAGGTTTTAGACAAATGTTGGTTGAATGAATGGATAGAGTTACCCAGTTAGCCACTGGTATAATGCCAGGTCTTAAAGAAGTAGAAAATATGTCTTTTATTAAGGGCTACAAAAACATCAAGGGAAAAACACTGAATAAAAAAAGAGACCGAATGCAACATCAGAAGTTAGTTTACTATTAGTTTAAAAGAAACATCTAAAATGTTTGGCTCAACCTTAACACTTTGCAAATGGGTAACAAAACTCTTCAGTAAACAACAGATGATAAAAATAGACTTTAAGTCTATGTTAGGATCCATTAATTAAGAAAGACAAGAAATCTGGAAGGGAATAAATGAAGGGAAAGAGACAAACAGGCAAAATGGACCAAGATACAGAGGGAAAGATGTACCCATAGAGATGATTGTAGTAACAAGTACTGTTTGCTAGGTGCCTGCCAGTGCCAGGCACTTTGGTTATTTTTATACCTACACACAGTCTCTATTTCTCACAACTACCCTTGTTCCCATTTTACAGATGAAGAAATCGAGGAGTGGAGCAGTCAGTAACACCCTAAGGTCACACTGTGAGTAAGCAGCGTACAAGCATACAGGGTGGGGCAAAAGTAGGTTTACAATTGCTCATATGGAAAATAATGCGATAATAAATAATAATGCAAGAATAAACTATGTTTTGAATACTCACATCTGTTAACCTACTATTGCCCCACCCTGTATATGTACAAACACACACAGAGCAAGCAGAGCTCATTACTTATTTAACAAATATTAGATGTGGACGGAAAAGGGGCCACATACTAAACCTGATGAGCCTAGGGGAGGCCCACATGGCAGGCCTTACGAACTCAGAGAGCCGAAGAAACCACACAGGCTGGTCTGGCCATACAAACTCCTAACTAAAAGCAGGTCATAGTGGGTAGTCACATTCCGGGCCTGTAGCTTCCTTGACAAAGGTCAGTCTTAAACTTTTACATTGTCCTTGCATCCGCGATAACATACCTTTGAAATGTCAGGGTAATTTTCCAGACCCCTCGACAGCACAACCCCTGGCACCAGAGCAGGAAACCACATGGCTCTTGTTGCCCACATACCATTTCTCTGTGCTAAATGTTAACTATCCTCTACCCTCCAATGTAAAAGAAGTTCGTGCCTCTCGATGTCGCTTTTTATCTAATCTCGGCAATTGCCTGCTTCGCTTTCTCCTGCCTCCCTAATCTACCACCAGCGGACGTCACGTAACCCCTCTTATAGCTCCTCTTTTGATTCTAATGTATAAAATAAGCTGCAAAACTGCCATTCTCCTGAGACTTTTCCCAATCCATTGAGATTTTGCTTCCTGGCAATTGCCATCAGTTTGGCCCAAATAACCTCTTCTAGGACTTTTTCCTGGGCTGGACTTTTGTCGACCAGATTGACTAGTAACAATGAATTGGGGCTTCACCTCCAGCACTTGCATCACACAGCCTGGAGGAAATGTAACTGAGGCCATTCCGGCTCCCTGCAGTCAACTCGGCAGTCCTGATTTTCAGAGGGAAGGAAAGGGGTCGAGTCTGACGCCTGCCGGCAGTGAGGGAGGCTGCTCTGCGGCCCAGTCCACATTAGCCCCATTGTCATGTAAAGAAAAGATCACGCTGCTTCCTGTTCTGGGTCTGTGAGGTCCACCTGTATAGTTCAGGGTGAGAAAAGGGAGGACTGTCGGCAGATACAAAAAAGATGTTCATTTTATTAGAGTCTGACCTTCCAGGGACATCCCGCCAGTCCACTGTCCAGTCGTCGTCCACGGTCCCATCCACTTTCTGGCCCCTCGACCAGAGCCGCAGACACTCTCTTCTTAGCTCCTTGTTCCTTTCTTGGTTCCGACACCCTTGTCGTCTTCCTGGATCGAGCATATTCTCTCTTTTTTCTGTCCCGTCTATACCCCAGTGCAGGGGGCTCAGCAGAGGTTGCCCAGGGCTTCCCCGAGGGATTCCCCATTGTGTTGGGGGGAACCCGCTGCCTCCTGGGATTTCTCATGGCAGAAGGTACAAGGAGCCACATGCACTTTGCCTGAGGAGGGCCCCCTTCATGCCCCAGATCCAGGCCTGAACCAAGCCTGCTCCTGGGGCACCTGTCATTTTGGACTCTGCATAGTTCAGTCTGAGGTCCTGCCCGGGCCCTGCCGCAGTCAGCCTGGTGGGGGTGGTCTCTGTTGAAATCAACAGCCAAACTGCCCGAGCTACCAGCACATCTCGGGGCAAGGGCAGGAGATGGTGCAAAGCCAGTCCTTTTCCTGGCTGGTCTGGCTTCATTTCCCCCTAGTCCTGTTGACCCTGGGCCTGACCACTGATCTCCCCCCCCTCAGACACAGCACCATGGCCATTGGCATTGCGGTGGACATCCTGGGCTGCACGGGCACTTTGGAGGACCGAGCAGCCACCCTCAACAGGATCATCCAGGTGGCGGTGGAACTGAAGGACTCCATGGGGGACCTCTATTCTTTCTCGGCCATCATGAAAGCCCTGGAAATGCCTCAGGTAAGTTTCCACTTGCTTTGTGTAGCCCCGTGGGCCTGTGTGTGCTTCACATTCTGCAAGCCCATGCTTAGCAGATCACACACAGTGTTAGTCAGTCTCCAAAGGTAAGCTGAATCTTAGCAAAAGCTGCTTTGATTAGGGGACAACCAAGAGTAGCGTTTTGGCTGTTTTTAAAAACAGCGGGGTATTGCTGACAGCCCACACTTTCTCTTCGATGTACAATAAGAAGAGTCACCCTGGAGAACAGTGTTCCTGAAGAACCAACTAGGATGGTGTGACTGGCACAACTGTGCTGTGTAAGGAAGAGACTGCGTCCACCTGAGTCACTAGATGGTGCGGGCAATTTGGGGTAATGACTGGGGAACCGAGCCATTTGGGGAGCTCATTTCTGAGAATCCTGAGAGTGGTTTATCTCAAAGAATATTCCTCAGGTTACCTAAAACACCTCTTATTAAAAAATTCAGATTTCTGAACCACCTGCCATATAACCCCGGAGTTAGAATTTCTGAAATTGGGCACTTTGAACTTACCTGCTTTGATGGCCTATTTTTAGGAGTGTCAAAACTGAAAACCTGTATTTAAAATCAAATGGACCTCATAGAGGAAAACAGGCCTGTGGCCTCGATCGCTCAGATTCCGCTTCCCCATCCTGCTCTGCTAGCCCTAGGTGCGCAGGGGCTTCCCTTACAGCCCTGCAAGCTCGGGCTGCAGATGGCAACACAAAACCGCTCGTCATCAAGCGGGTGGTTCAGAGCCTCAGATTGTCTTGGAAATCCTGCCGGGTTCTCGCTGAAAACCCAGCACTGCCCCTGGGGAGACGGTTGCAGTCAGCGTCCTGCAGGGCACGTTAGGAACATAGTTTCCTTGCTTTAAAGCAAGGTCACCTTAGAGACAAGAAGCTGAACAACTTCATTCCTTCTCCAGGAAAATTTGGCAGGGGTTTCAATTCCAATTATAATGTAATATTCCAAGAGTTTACAAAATTCTTTAGATGCACTGGAATTTAGTAGGGTTGATACTGGAAATTAGCAAATTCAGCCATATTTTCATGATAGACTTCTACAATATCAGGAATTCTAATTTTTCATTCAGGTGTCTTTAATCTGCATCAGATTTATTTCCTCTTATCCAAACCTGTGTATAATTCTGAGACCTGAGCCAACAAACTAAGCTGCGTATGTAGCCCTCCAGCCAGAGCTTCCTCAGAGAGTGGGAAGGGGGATGTTTGTGGCATTACGTGATTGCTGTCCATGACATCCAACTCAGCGGTTAGGGACTTATCCCTGAGCACGTCAACATGCCTTTGCAGGTACCCCCCCTCCCACAGCCTCAGACTCTCCCTCTGAGCACCTCAGCCATGAGGGAACTAGTCCTCCAGGGTGCCCAGGGCCTGGGGTGAGCCAGAGCGCTGCTTGGGCAGGGAAGTGGTAGACCCAGGAAAAACCCCAGCAGTCACGTCATTTCTATGTGTCACCATCCAAACCTGCCCACATACTGTAGCCACATGGGCCACTTTCTTTTCCCAGCTTCTCGTACCAAGAGAGGGCCCCCTATCCAGCAGACGGGCTCAGCCAAGACAGGGCTTCTTTCAGAAGGGCGCTGCTTGAGGGCTGAGGAAGAGCCGGGCTGTGAGGGTGGTGTGGTGGCCGGAGGAAGGCCAGCCCACATCCCCTCCTCCCCAGAAAGTCTGCCGGTGCCCAGCCCTCCTCCCCTTTCGCTTGGAAAACACAAGAGCTCTTAGAGGCCAGTGAAATGAATCTCAGCCCTGCCATTTACCAGCTGTGAAACCTTGAGCAAGCTACCTAATCTCTCCTGTTTTCTGATCTGTAAAATGAGGCCAAAATTCCTGCTTCGTAGGGTGTTGCGAGGATTAGGTGAAATTCCTCAAATGCCTGAGTCGGCTCTCATTCCCTAAATATTAGTGCCCTTTCTCCCTTGTTTCATGTAGAAAACTCCACGTAGGCCTGCTGGTGTTACGGTGTGAGTGGGGGGCCGTTTATCTGAGGCAGGCAGAGTCACTGGCATGTGTTGGTGTTGACATTATTCCAAAGGATATGTCAAGGAATGAGAGATGGCGTCATACGGCCTGGGCAAGCTCCACGTCTCAGATGTCACTCCTTACGAGTGGCATGGAAATGCTGAGCCTCACGTTCCTGCATCCCCTCGGTGTAACCTCTATGGAAGACAGCTGGCAGCTCCTTTTCAAGTCTGCACTCTTTGACCCAGTAGTTCCACTTCTGGAAACTTATCCTCTAGATGTTTTCACACATGTACACATTTGCAGAATCTTTAGGAGGTAATTTTGTAATAGGAAAACACATTGAAAACCCTGATCTATAGGATATTGGTTAAACTATGGTTTATCCATAAAGTAGAGCATGATGCAGAAGTTTAACACAATGAGGCTGTTCTATGCTGTTTTATATGTACTTATATGAAATGATTACCAAGCAAGGAGCAAAAAAAAAATACATGTAGTATGACGTATTTATTTTCAAGCGTGTGTGTGTGTGTGTGTATGTGTGTGTGTACAGACACACACACAGGAAATTGATGAGGAGTTGTCCCTGGGATGGGCCTGGGACTAAGGTGAGGGTGGGGGATTAACTTTTCTCTGTACACTCCTTTCAACTGCGTTCTTTTTTACCACGTGCATCTATTCCAAAACTTAAGCAAAAAGGTCATTTTAGCCCTGGCCTGTGTGGCTCAGTTGGTTGAATGTCATCCTATCCACCAAAAAAAGGTCACTGGTTCCATTTCCAGTCGGGGCACATGCCTGGGTTACCAGCAGGGGTGTGCAGGAGGCAGCTGATGGATGTTTCTCACATCGATGTTTCTCTCTCTAAAATCAATAAAAACATTTAATTTTTTTATAAAGAACCTTTAAAAAAGGACCTTTTCCAAAATGGTAACACCTTTCTTCCTTCCAGATTACAAGGTTAGAAAAAACGTGGACGGCCCTGCGGCACCAGCATACCCAGTCCGCCATCCTCTATGAGAAACAACTGAAGCCGTTCAGCAAAATCCTGCACGAAGGCAGAGGTGAGCCCAGGGTCGGCGAAGCAGGCCTGGTGGCTGCCCCACTGGTGTCTGCAAGACCAAAAGATTGTACTGTTCTGGTTTGATCAAAGCACTTAGGGCATATTATGAGGCTCCGAGTTATCTGCAGGATTGTTGATGTGTCAATCAAGGTTTTTATCGGATGACGGCATTGCTGCAGGTGCTAAAAAAAAAAAGCCATAGGCTACCAGTCACTTCATTCTGTCTTTAATTTTTTATGAAATTAAGGCATAACTGATATAACATTATATTAGTTTCAGGTGTACAATGTAATGGTTTGATATTTGTATGTACTGCAAGATCACCACAGTAAGTCCAGTTAACATCCATCACCCTACATAGTTACCAAAAAATTTTTGTGAGAACTTTCAAGACCCACTCTCCTAGCTACTTTTAAGTATGCCCCGCAGTAATACAGTCACCATGCTGAACATTGTATTCCATAATCTATTTGTTTTATAACTGGAAATGTGGACCTTTTGTCCCCTTCACCCATTTCATCCACCCTCCACCTCAGGCCACTATCCAACTGTTTTCTGTATCCATGAGCTCGGGTTTTTTGTCTGTGTGTTTTGTTTTTGTTTTCTGGGTTCCACATATAAGTGAGCGCATATGTGACTGTCTGACTTATTTCACTTAGTGTAATGCCCTCAAAGTCCATCCATTTTGTCCCAAATGGCAGGATATCATTCTTTCTTATGGTTAAATAATAATCCATTGTGTATATAATCCACGCCTCCTTTACCCATTCATCTACCGATAGGCGTTTAGGTGGTTTCCATGTCTTGGCTATTGTAAATAATGCTGCAATGGATAGGGGGGTGCACATATTTCTTGGAGCTAGGGTTTTTGTTTTCTTTGGATAAATACCCAGAAGTGGAACTGCTGGGTCATATAGTTCTATTTTTAATTTTTTGAGGAACCCTCATACTGCTTTCCATAGTGGCTACACAATTTGCATTCCTAACAACAGTGCAAATGGTTCCCTTTTCTCTACTTCCTCACCAACACTTACTAGGATGGTTTTTATTAAAGAGAGAATAAATGGGTGTGAGGTTCTGTCTCCTGTGGTTTTAACTGGCCTTTCCCTGATGATTAATGATTTTGAGCATCTTTTCATGTATCTGTTTATCATCATCTATCTGTATGTCTTTTTTGGAAATATGCCTATTTGGGTCCTCTGCTCATTTTTTAATGAGATTAGTGTTTGGGGATGTTTTGGCCATTGAGTTCTATGAGTTCTTTATATACAGGGGTTGACAAAAGTAGGTTTACACTTTGTTTGGAAAATAATACAATAATAAAACAAGAATAAATTGTTTCCCATACTCACAACTGTAAACCTACTCTTGCCCACCCCTGTACTTTGGATATTAATCCCTTATCAGATATATGATTTGCAAATTATTTCCTCTCATTCCATAGACTGACGTCTCATTTTGTGGGTTTCCTTTGCTGTGCAGAATTTGTTTTAGTTTGCTGTAGTCCCACTTGTTTATTTTTGCTTTTGTTGTCAAATCCAAAAAATTATCGCCAAGACCAATGTCAAGAGTTTTCTTCTAAGAGTTTTATGGTCTTAGGTCTTACATTTAAGTTCTTTAATCTGTTTTAAATCAATTTGTGTATGGTGTAAGGTAGTGGTCAAGTTTCATTCATTTGCATGTGGCTATCCAGTTTTCCCAGCACCATTTACTGAAGACTAGCCTTTCCCATTGTATGAATATTGGCTCCTTCATTGTAAATTAATTGACCATCTGTGTGCGAGTTTTTTCTGGTTTCTCTCTCTGTTCCATTCTTTATGTGTCTGGGGTTTTTTTATGCCAATACCATACTGTTTTCCTTACTATAGCTTTGTGATATGGTTTGAAATCAGGGAGCATGATGCTTCCAGCTTTGTTGTTCTTTCCATAGATTGCTTTGGCTATTTGGTGTCTTTTGTGGTTTCATACAAATTTTAGGATTGCTTGCTCTATTGCTGTGAAAAATAGGAATTTTATAAGGATTACATTGAATCTGTAGTTTGCTTTGGGTAGTATGGACATTTTAGCAATATTAATTCTTCCGGTCTATAAGCATGTATTATCTTCCCATTTATTTGTGTCGTCTTGAATTTCTTTTATCAGTGCCTTATAGTTTTCAGAGTACAAGGTCTTTCACAACCTTGGTTAAATTTATTCCTATTTTTTTATTTTTGAGGCAGTTATAAGTGGGATTATTTAATTTCTCTTTCTATAATTCATTATTAATATATGAAAATGCAACCAATTTTTGAATATTAACTTTGTATCCTGCATTGCCAAATTCATGTATTAGTTCTCATAGGTTTTTGTGGTAGAGTCTTTAGGATTTTCTATAGTATTATGTCATCTGCAAACAGTGACAGTTTTATTTCATCTTTTCCAATTTGGATACCTTTTGTTACTTTTTCTAGTCCATTTGTTCTGGCTAGGACTTCCAGTACTATGTTGAATAAAAGTACCAAGAGTGGGCATCCTTGTCTTATTCCTGATCTTTGAAGAAAAGCTTTCAGCTTTTTACCCTTATGATGTTAGCTGTGGGCTTGTCATATATGGCATTTATTATGTTGAGGTACTTTCCTTCTGTACCCACTTTGTGAAGAGTTTTTATCATAGCCCAGCCGGGCATGGCTCAGCGGTTGAGCGTCCACCTGGGATCCAGGCAATCAGGGTTTGATTCCCGGTCAGGGCACATGCCCAGATTGCGGGCTGCAGCTGATCAATGACTCTCTCATCATTGATGTTTCTCTCTCTCTCTCCCTCTCCCTTCCTCTCTCTGAAATCAATAAAGATATTTTTTTTAAAAAAAAAGTTTTTATCATAAATGGATGTTAAATTTTGTCAAATGTGCTTCTTGCATTTATTGAAATATTTTTTTATTCTTCATTTTGTTAATGTGGGATGTCACATTGATTAATTTGCAGGTGCTGAACCTTCCTTGCACCCTGAATAAATCCCACTTCCTCATGGTGTATGATCCTTTTAATGTATTGCTGAATTCAGATTGCTAATATCTTTGCATCTGTGTTCATCAGAGATATTTGCCTATAATTTTCTTTTCTAGTGGCATCCCTGTCTGGTTTGGGTATCAGGGCAACCCTGGCCTGGCCCATACAATATGATTGGAAGTGTTCCCTCCTATTTTGTGGAAGAATTCGAAAAGGATTGGCTTTTTTTTGAATGTTTGGTAGAATTTATCAGCAAAACCATCTGGTCCTAGACTTTGTTTGGGAGGTTTTTGATTAACAATTCAATTGCCTTACTAGTAATTGCTCTGATCAGATTTTCTGTTTCTTCATTAATCACTTTATAAGTGATTAATCTACTACTTTTACTATATATTTACCTTTACCAGTGAGATTTATACTTTTATGTTTTCTTCTTACTAATCAGTGCCCTTTTCAGCTTAAAGAACTCCCTTAACATTTCTTGTGGTGATGAATTTCTTTAGCTTTGGGTTGTCTGGAAAACTCTATACAATTTTGAATAACTTTGTTGGATATTCTTGGTTGGAAAATTTTCCCCTTTATTTTACTTTGAATGTATCATGCCACTCCCTTCTGGCCTGCATATTTTCTGCTGAAAAATTTGCTAATAGTCTTACAGGGCTTTCCTTGTATATTACAAATTGTTTTTCTGCTTCTGCTTTTAAGATTCTTTCCTTGTCTTTAACTTTTTTATTATAATTTGTCCTGGTGTGGGCTTCTTTAAGATAATTGTCTTTGGAACTCTAGGCTTCCTGGATCTAGATGGCTGTTTCTTTCCCCAAGTTAGGGAAGTGTTCAGCCATTATTTCTTCAAAGTTTTCTGCAGCTTTCTTTTTTTCTGGGACCTCTTTAATGTTAATGTTAGTTGCTTGGTGTTGTCCCATAAATCCCTTAAACTGTCTTCATTTTTTTCCTGCTCTGATTGGGTGAGTTCCATTGCCCTGTCCTCAAGTTCACCAATCCTTTCTTCTGCTTCATTGAGTCTGCTGTCAAACCCATCTAATGTATTTTTCAGCTCTGTAACTTCTATTTGGTACTTTCTTATATTTTCTATCTCTTTGTTGAAGTTCTCACTGCATTCATTCATTCTTCTCCCAAGTTTGGTGAACATCTTTATGATATTACTTTCAACTCTTTATCAGGTAAATTATCTCCATTAAGATGTTTTTTCCCCCTAAGGTTTTATCTTTTTTTTTTTTTTTCATTTTGAACACATTCTGGTAGAGTGGCCTCATGTAGGAGATGAACTTTATCATTCAACCCTGCCCTAGCTCTTAGTAGTTTCCCAAACCTTTGTGACTGTCCAAGCAGCCTACTTCAGTTTTAATTGCTTCCAGTATAAGGGCATGCCATATACCGTATCTGTCACCATCTCAACAAGGAGGATCAGTCAGCACCTAGATTCAAGCTGATTGGAAGCTAGACCCTCAGGCAGAATCTTTTTAAAGTATGCAAATTTATATAGTCCTATGCAACTGCAAGCGTAAACCCCACTGGCCACCAGGCAATCTGGAGGTGTCCTCTGGGTGGCAGTTACAAAATCAGGGCTCCGGACAAGCGTATAAGATCCTTCCTTTTTGGGAGATATTGGTGAACTGTTCTGAGGCAAAAAGTGTGTGCAAAGATATTGTCCACCAGCTTATGTTCCCTTGAAACACCTCTGAAAGCCCCTTGCTACATGCCATACCTGAAACCTGTCCCTCAGGCTGAAGTTCCAGGGCAAATAGGCCCCTTTCTCAGAAAGACGTGTGTGGGGGTGTTTTAGTCTGCTGTCTGTGCAGTGCCCTGGGCAAGGGGGGGCGGGGGTGTCCTGCCAGGAACTCTCCAATTTTTACAATCCAGCGGGACCCAAGAATACAAACTTCCCCTGGCCACCAGATCAGGTGATCAAGGGGAGTTCCTTGGGTGGCAGCCACAAAAACCAGGATAACAGCTCCATGTAAAAGCTCCCCTCTGGGGAATACTGGTGCTCTAGACCACGGCAGGGGGAGAGCACAAAGGAGTGCTCATCCTTTGAGGTCTCTGCAAAGGATTACAGTCAACTCTTAGATGAGTATTTAATTAGAAGCCTGCCCTCAGACTGCAGTTAGGATAAGCTCATAAGCCACTGTTGCCTTGTGCTGTGCCCTGAGGGTAGCTGTTTAAGAACCCTTTCTCCATTGGTTACAGTCCTGTGGGACCCATGGATATAAGCCCCACTGGCCACCAGACCCTGGCAACATCAAGGTGTCCTCTGGCAGCAACTGCAAGGGTATGAGCTCCTTTCTGGGAGATGCTGGAGCAAAGCTGAGAGAGAGTTTATAACTAGCTCCCACAGAAAAAAAGGACACCCACTGGCTAGAGTGAGGCAGTGTGAAGATGGTGCCTGTCAGCTAGCAGGGCCCTAAATGTGTGCTAAATTAGATGACCCCCTCAGGCTCATTCACATAAAGCCTGAGCACCCCTCCATCAGCTACCTTTTGCTGAGCCCTGGGGCAGGTGAACCCTTTAAGCTGCTTTCTCAGGTCACTATAGTCTTGTAGGTCTCATGGCCTTCAGCCCCATTGGTTTTTAAAGGTAGATGTTTGGGGGCTTGTCTCTCAGGTCACTGCACCAGGGTTGGGGTTTATGGTGAGATTGTGTCCCAGCCTCTCCTACCCACTTCTATGTGGGCCTCTCATTGGACTCATTTGCAGGATTTGCTCAAACAGCTTTTAGGTTTTCTTCAGAGGAAGTTGTTCCATATTTAGCTGCAGATTCAATGCGTCCATGGGAGGAGGTGGGCCTAGGATTATCCTACATCATCATCTTGTACCCGAATTCTCTGTGCTTAACTTTGGGGGGGGAAATGATATGGAAAACTTTACCCCTTGTTTTTCAGAATCCACTTGTGTCCTCCCAAACAATATATCAGTCCCCCTGCTGATGCCTCTTGTGACCTTAATGGAACGACAGGCTGTCACTTTTGAAGGCACTGACATGTGGGAAAAAAATGATGAAAGCTGTGAAATTATTATGAACCATCTGGCAACAGCCCGACACATGGCAGAGGCTGCACACAGTTACCAGGTGAATGCCGAGAGGATCCTGGAAGGTAAGAGCTGGATTTTGTAAGCTGCTGTCTACTCTGCATAGTAACTGCAATGAAGGAATCAAGAGCATGTATGTTCTCAATGAGAAAAAGACCAACTAGGAAAGAATGAGGCATGGGAATTTTGTTTCCTATGTGACTGATCATTACTTCCTCTTAATTCCTAAATGACTTAAGGATCCTGTTTCTCTCTCTGTATGTGTTCTGTTGGGCCACTGGTATAGACTAAACAGAGAGAAGGTCAAGAAAGAATTGGTCAGCCTGCCTACCATTAGTGCCTCTCATAGTCGCTATTGGAAAACATGAGGAGTCGGAGTGTCTTTGACCCCGTTCATGTGCATTCCTGTTTCTTCTCAGTTACACTGGGAAGTGAGTGCCCCTGCTCATAGCATCGAAGGGTCCAACACAAGCAAAGGCACTGAAAGAGCTGGGGGAAAAGTACAAACCACAAGTACTTGGGTTTGGATTAGTGTCAAGTGTGTCTTAAGGGATGGCCAACTAGGCTGAAAGAAGAAGGGATACAGATAGGATGGGAAGGCCTTCCAGGCAGGACTGGTTGAGGAAGACCAGAGAGGTTTTAAACACGGGAGGGTGTCATCACATGGTGACATTTATGTTTTAAATCTGGCATCTGTGTGGAGGAAGGCTGAAGGCTTATAGGCAAAAAAGACCATTTAGGAAGCAAATGCAAGAACAGGACTTGACTAAAGCAGTTATCAGAATGGCGATTCTCTCTTCCTCACTATATAATTTAAAAAATTTTTCAAGGGCCCATGGTTTGACCCACAAGGTTAAGACCTATATGGGGTGGGAAAGGCTCATTATTTCATCCCTAAAACAAAGCTGTTGCTTCAGAACCAGAATTTAGGACTGAACCGTTTGCACTGTGCCTGCTGTAGGTGTAAGCATTACATACCTGTTTCACTTTTTCCCTCAGAAAGTCCTCCAAGGTTAGCAGTGTAGAACTCAAACAAAAGCACATAACTCACCAGATATTACAGTGCCTGCTTATACAAAGCCAATAAATGTATTACATTAGCCTTTAGGGAAATGTAAAATTTAAGCCAGTGAGATACACCACACACTACCTATAATGACAGTAATAAAAGTTGCCAGCATACAGAGAAAACAGTCTTCATATGTTACTGATAAAAATATAAAATGGTAGAGCCATTTTGGAAAAGAGTTTGACAGTTCCTTGAAAGTAAACATCTATTTACCATATGGCCTAGTAATTCCCAGAGAAATGAAAACAAGTGTCCACACAAAGACTTATACATAAATGTTTATAACATTATTCATAATACTCAGAAACTAGAAACAATCGAAATGTCTATCAGTTGGTGGATGGATAAGCAAAGTCGTATGTCCACATAACTGAATACTACTCAGTAATAAAGAGGAATTAATTATTGATAAAATGCAACAATATGGAATAATCTCAAAAACCTTGTGCTGAGTGATAGAAGCCAGACACCAAAAAAGCCCATAAGTCTCATCTATATCAAACAAACAGCAGATAAGTGGTTGCCGGGAGTCTGGGGTAGGAACAGAGATCGACAGAACTGTTTAGGGTGATGGAAGCGTTCGAAGACTGGTGGTGATGGCTGCGCAACTATAAATTTACTCATAAATCAAACTAATGGGTGAATCATGATCTGTAAATGATACATCAATGAAGTTGTAAAAAAAAAAACCCCAAAGGTACTTTGAATACTCCTTCTCATAGGACAACCCACAGTGGCATGTGCACACAACTTTTATTCTATCATGGTTTAGTGAGTTTACTTGTGCATTTTTTAAATCCTCATCTGAAGATGTTTTTTCCATTGCTTTTCGGCGGGGGAGACACACACATTGATTGGTTGCCTCCCACATGCACCACAACTGGGGATCAAACCTGTAACCAAAGTACATGCCATTGATGGGACTCGAACCGGAGACCCTTCAGTTCCAAGGGCGGACACTCCAACCGCTGAGCCAAACCGGCCAGGGCATGAGCTTACTTATCCTTTCTCCAAAGGTGCTCAGGTCCTTGAGAGTGGACTCTGCCCTCTCTCATACACAGCAGATCCTGTATTTTTCCTTGGGGAATTTTTTAAAGGTCTGAGAAATGAAGTTCATTTTGATCCTACTTTAAATGAGCAAGTTTTCAGTCTACTTTCTACATTGTTTTCGGCAGAACTGAAAAAACTTTTGTTTTGTTTACATTAGGTTTTCAACCAGATGAAGAAATGAGTGAAATCTGCAAGACTGAATTTCAAATGCGATTGCTATGGGGCAGCAAAGGTGCACAAGTCAATCAGACAGAGCGATACGAGAAATTCAACCAGATTTTAACAGCCCTCTCACGTAAACTGGAGCCTCCTCCTGTAAAGCAAGCAGAGCTTTGATAACTCTCTAGAGAACCTTAGGGTATCACTTCAAGCTTCTCCAGTTTCTTCTTTGGAAAAGCTTATCATTTGAAAAAGATGTGCAAAATCTGACAATGTACAAGCTTTTAGTATCCACAGGATATTAAACATGTAAATTGCACAGAGCATACTTATTTATGAATTGTTTAAAATTACTACTGATTTTTTTAAATGAATGATAATTTATTGTTAAGGTAACTATTGCTAATGTTGATCAGCAAATTCAAGAGATGACCTAGCTGTGTTGACCGGTTGCTTTTTATTACTGAGGTATTTGACCATCTTAGTTTTAATTCCATATTAGAAAATTGTAAATAGAATTTAAAAGCATGAAACATTTCAGAAGGTATCAGTTGTATGATATTCTTTAAATATGAAAACATGTAAATAGTCATGAAAATATATCTTTTTGTGAAACAGCTGTACCCAGTCTCTTTAATATTAAACAACCATCAGAGTACAATAATTCTACCTCCTACCTTTCTGGGTCACCCTCTTCGCCATCCACTATGTCCTGCCAGTAAACAAAAATGATGGATACTGGTGTGGAAAATGGAAGGAGACAGTGAATAGTGATACGAAGTAGAGCTGGCTCCAGAAGACGTAGGTTCCAGGAAACTCAGGCTGCGGTGCTTGCAAGTTGGACAAGTTAACCTCATCAAGCCCCGCGCAGCACAGCGCCGGGTACAAAGTGAGCACCCAGACGTGTATTTCACGCCACCACTTCACGTATTTCAAAACAATATTTTCTTCTCTAGCTGATTAGTATGTTTTTGAGGTTTTTTACCTCCCAAAGGGGGTACTTTCTAGTTTATCAGTATCCCTCTTAATGGTTTTTCCTATTGTAGAAAATTTGGAATATAAAATAAGCCTACATCACCCTGCCACCGACTGTCAAACACTTACCAATTTGCTATTTCTTCCTATTTTCTGAATAATTTGGGACCATACACAATAGCTTTATATCCAATTTTTCTCAAATTGCAATCTATCTTAAAAAAACCACCACACAAAACAACTCTGGTCAAGCTCAGGGCAGCAGGGGGTAGGGGTGGTGCCAGAGACATACAGGGAGAAACTGAATTGTGTGGCTCCAGAGAGAGAGGGCTGGAGCGACAGCCACCATTGTCTCTGTGTTGGGCCATCTCCCACGCAGCTAAATGCAATTCTGCATTAGCCTGGTGAACTCCATTAGCTCCACCCTGATGACTCCCTGAGACCCTGCCTCACCCAACTCGCCTTACCCCCAATGGTTTTTCACCGACTGAGCATTATGGGCAGCAGGCAGTGGCAGGTCTCAGGGTGCCTCGGGCCTTTTGTTGCCCTGCCCCAGGCCCGGTACTGGTGACAGCGGACCTTAGTTTGCAGTGTAGCCCCTCCCACATACATCCAGGCTCAGGACAGGCAGCTACCAACCACAATCACCTTGAAGCTCCTAACGTGTAGCTGGTCACAGGCAGCATCTGACATTGACCTACAAGAGCCCCTCCCAAGAGGCTGCAGAACCAACACACCTGGTGGATGGCTTCAGACCTCAACAGACTACCACCCGGTTAGCTCCATAAGTGGCACACTCAAAGGGAGGTCTTGGCAGGCGCCAGACCCCATTGGGGTAAATTCTGATCCTTGGGGTCAGCTTCTGCACAGCAGCTCATACACTCAGCCCGAGAGTCAATCCCATCCTCTGATGTGCCAACAGCAATGAAGGCTCAACTACAACAGGAGGGCACACACAACCTATAGAAGGGACACTCCTGGAGCACTGGGATCAGGTGATCAGGGCTGTGCCACTGAACCCAACAGGACACCTACCTGCTACATAGGGCAAATCTGCCAAGACTGGGAAATGCAGCAGATCTACCTAATACATAGAAACAAACAGAGATGCAACCAAAATGGGGAAACAAAGAAGCATGTCTCAACTGAAATAACAGGAGAAATTCATAGCATTACCGCCTACCTCAAGAAACAAGAACCATCTCAATCTAACCTTACACCTAAAGGAACTAGAAAAACAACAAAGCCCAAAGTCAGCAGAAGAAAGGAAATAATAAAGATCAGAGTGAAAATAAACAAAATAGAGTCTAAAAAACAATACAAAAGATTGATGAAATTGATAAAACTTTTACCTATATTCATCAAGAAAAAAAAAAGTCTTCCCCAGCAGCCGGTAAGGTGCTCAGTCCTTCTGAGGAAGCCAAGCCCACATTGGGGTGAGCCCATTACTTCCCCCGGCGACTAGCCTCATGCCTGGCAGCCCGCGCCCAGCACTCGCCCACGCCATGGCCTCTGTCTCAGAGCTCACCTGTGTTTCCTTGGCCCTCATCTTGCATGCTGGTAAGTCACAGAGGATATGATCAACGCCCTCGTTAAAAGCACCTGGTATAAATGGTGAACCTTTCTGCCAGGCTGGTTTGCAAAGGCTCTGGCCAATGTCAGCATTGGGAGCCTCATGTGCAATTTAAGGGCTGGTGGACCTGCCCCAGCAGCAGGTGTAAAGGCTGGAGGTCCTGACCCCACTACCACTGCTGCCCCAGCTGAGAAGAAAGTAGAAGCAAAAAAAAGAATCTGAAGTGTCTGGTGATAAGAAGTGCTTTGGTATTTTTGACTAAACCTTTTTTATAACATGGTCAATAAAAAGCTGAATTGACGGGGGGGG